AACAATAACAACATAATTTACTCACAAATTAACTTCCAATATTTTATCATAATTCCTCTAATTTGACCAACTGAATGCCAGTTAAAACAAAATGAGGTTGTTTGGGAGATAGACAGAACCTCCTAAAATGATCATAGCTAACATGGATCCCTATTTGAAAGGCATTGAGTATTTATTGAGCAGCTTTAGTTATTCCTGGATCTGTAGGAAAAATAAGGATATCTGAATTCCTGAAATCTCAACACAATTTGATACAAGGGTGAGTCAAATATATCTGTTCTCTAGTTTTGTTAAAACTTCTGTTGGCTGCTCTGTCTTATCAGCACTTTCCGTTCAAGGTCACTACTGTGCAAGTGTGAATGTAGACATCTGCACACAAAATTTACACCAATACTTGAAAGAAGGTAAAATTTTCTTTAAAAAAAAAAAAATCATTTCTGGTGATGAGACATAGGTTCATCACTACAAGCCTGAGAGTAAATGGCAGAATATGGAATGGAAACATCCTCAAATCAACTACCAAGAAAAAGTTCAAAAGTCAACCATCAGCTGGAAAATTGATTTTAGGATTCCCAAGGGCCGATATTGGAACACTATCAGGAGGAAAGTTTCAATAATCAGCAGTGCTTGTTGCAATGAAACGCTCACTGAACAAGCAAAGCCTAAACTTCAAATTAAATGCAGAAGACAGCTATCCAAGGGCATTGTGATCTTGCATGAAAATGCCCATTCACACACCTCTGCCTATACTCTGACACTCTGCAAAAACTTAATTTTTAGTTGTTAAAGAATCTTCCCTATAGTTGTAATCTTGCTAATTGAACTTTCACCTGTTTGGTTCCATGAAAGTAGCCCTTCAATAATCAACATTCGCCTTAAATGAAGAAGTGAAAACAGTGTTGCATTCATGGTTTGTAGCTCAACCTAAAACCTTTTTTAGTAAGAAAACGCAAAACCTTGCTGACTGATGGACAAAGTGTATGTAAAGCAAGGAGATTATTTATAAAACAAGCATTTGTCTTTTCTAAAAGTTGATTAAAATAAATTCTACAGCCACAGTACAGATAATTTTTACTCACCCTCATATATACTAAAACATTATCACTAAAAATGTCTAAGTATTAACTCAATCCACAAAATATGAACTTTTAATATTCTGATTTACACTTGAATTCATCTATTACTGCTCTGTAATATTTAATGCAAAAAGAATTGAATTTATTTACCCTTCAATTACTGTTCCTTCTCTGTTCCATAATCCCTTTATTTTATTCCATTTTAGAGCTATAATGGCACTTAGGATGAGCAAAGGTAGAAAAATGAAGAAACTGATCAAAAGGCCATTATTTTGATGAGCAGAACGTTGCTGGATAAACAATGGCATACTTTGATCTGAAAACATCAGAGTATATTTTAGTTTTTCAAAAATGATGTCAAAGAATATACTAATTAGAATTACAAAAATTTAGAACTCAAATAATTAGGCAATGGAATAAGTAAAATTGAATAGCAAAGAGTGTTTTGATATCTTATGTGATTCAGACCCACACTTCCTTATACATTTTATGTCAACTCAGTGAACTATGCATATATCAATGACATAAATCTATTTTGAATCTTTCTATATATCATTTCTGTGTGATAGATTATAAACCATTTTGTTCTATAATATTCTATTTTTACAAATTGTTACATCCCATTGCTTTTGTTAGGTGCCATCACCACTGAGTAATCTCTGACTCATAGCAACCCTATATTCAACAAAACAAAACAATGCCCG